GGGGGGGGGGGGGAGAGGGGGCAAAATATTCAACGAAATTGCCTTACTAGTTTCGAAGAAAGAGGAAGGAAAGAGGAGAATTAATAAAAAATGAAAAAAAAGAAAAGGGAATGAAACTGTCGATTAATTGCTCTTGTCCTTTTTGTTTCGTCTCACGATAGATATCTTTTTAGCTGTTTTTTTTATCTCCTCTCTGTGTCTTCTGTTATTAATCAAGACAAAACGAATATACTTTTTTGTTTTATTTACAGTATAAAAATGGGGAGAATAAAGTCACGTAGAAAGATGTAGATGGTGCAATCTGACCAGAAAAACGATCCTCGTCTGTTCTTTTTTGGCATTTTGTACCTTCTACACTGCGTCTCTCTCTCTCTCTCTCTCTCTCTCTCTCTCTCTCTCTCTCTCTCTGCCCCCTTCCACTATCCTTTTAACGAATGAACGACTGAATATCGTTGTTTCGTTTTGCGCTTTAGAAAGCACAGTCGTGGCACAGTAGTTTTTTTATTGAGATCGTCTTGGTTGTAATTCCCGCACCGTTTTCTTTATCGTATTTCGAACATTGTGCGTCCATCAATTTCACTTTGAGGGTTGAAGAGAGTGCAAGAGAGTGCAGTTAAACTGGACACTCTCGCTCCGCCGCGTTAGATTGAAGGATCTCTCGTTGCTTTCTGTCATTACGCGGTCGCCCGATCGATCTTGGAACTTTCTAAAAATATTCTCCCGTACACACGTACGCGCGCACTTTTACACTTCTCTTTCGAACCGATTTGTTATTGTCGCCTTCGTCGCCTTGCGCGCTGCCAAATTTGTGGAGCATTCAGCAAGTGAGAATTTTGTGTTACTTGTGATGGACGTATGATAACGCGTCATCTCTTTTCTCTCGCGTCTGTTTATATGTATATATATATATATATATATACATATGTACACATATGTATTTTTCTTGATTTGAACATAGAGATGTCTGACTCTACGGGTGATCATGTAGATGCGCTGGAAGAAGAATTGGAAGTAGATTCCAACTATAAGCCTCCGCCGGAGAAGACTATTGAACAGATTCTAGAAACAGACAAGGAGGATGAGAGTTTACGAAAGTATAAAGAAACGCTTCTGGGAGAAGCAAAAGCTGGTGGTGTTGTAGTAGGTGAGTTTACTTAATTTTTTGTCTATAGTGAAAACATCACTGATTGCAATACACTAACCAACAATATAAAAACATTCAAAATGTCTTGTAGATCCTAATGATCCTAGAAAAGTAATAGTAAAGAAGTTAGCCCTCTGTGTTGCCGAACGACCTGACATGGAGTTGGATTTGTCTGGTGACTTGGGACAGCTGAAAAAACAGACATTTGTCATCAAAGAAGGTGTAAGCTACAGAATCAGGATTGATTTTATCGTGCAACGTGAGATTGTGCATGGGCTAAAATACATTCAGAAGACTTATCGTCTTGGTGTACCTGGTATGTTTTTTATGTGTATATATATATATATATATATATATATATATATATATATATATATATATCTTTGCAACTTTATATTTGATATAATATTACGGTATTGCATACTGTTGGATTACTCTGAGTAAATTTCATTTTTTCTTAATGCTTCTAATGCAAATTGTAGGAGTCACGGGTAAGTATAATATAAATTTGTGCAGGTGTGTTGTGTGTGTATACATAACATAATTGCATATAATGGGTTTTAAGTCTAAAATTTGATTTCACAGTGGATAAAATGACGCACATGGTAGGATCATACCCCCCCAAGACAGAACTTCAATCTTATACTACTCCAGCCGAGGACGCGCCAGCTGGCGTGATGGCACGAGGCTCCTATAGCGTCAGTTCTCTCTTTACAGACGACGACAAGCACGAGCATCTCAAGTGGGAATGGGCGTTTGAAATTAAGAAGGATTGGAAAGAATAAGTCGTTTCCTATTCCGTGGGAATATGAAAGGAATCGGAAAAAGATGATAATTACAACTCATAGGTAGCCTTACCACACTCTGCGAATAATAATTAAAGAAACAAAATGCCAAAACGGACTCGGATGGATGCTCTTTAATTGCGCTAGGCGTCATGTTGCCATATATAACATTTAACACTATATATAATTAATTATATATATATATATATATATATATATATATATATATATATATATATATATACATATATTTTAAGTAAAAACGCAAAGAAAAAGAATGTATAATCGGTATTTATTAAGAATTCTCCTTGTACTTGATTGGATATCCAATCGTAAAAAATAGTACTCAACAATTGCGGGATGCACACACATACACACACGCACGCAAGCGTGCACACACACACATATACGAGCGCGCGTAAATTAGTCAATAGTGCAAACAGACATAGAGATAACGATTATTCGAATGAGATACAGTGCGATAAACCAAGATTTCCAGAATAGATGTTATATGTATTAATGAGTAAAGTTTCCAATGAATATTACAATCAACGGTGTGATACACTGTTATTTATTACAAATGAGAGTTCTGCTTTATAGAAGATATCTGATAAATCATATTATTCTTGATTATTGTATATATATATATAATATTCTGTGCACGGTATACAGACCAAGATGCAATTTTTTTACGGAGAGACCTAGAGATATTCAATGCTTTAAAATTATAATGAAAGAAATTACAATATTTTAAGTTTTTACTTCCGTACCATTAGCATCTTTAGACGTATTTAGACGTATTATGACGCAATAAACGTTGAGCATTGTTGTAATTCAAAAGTAGAGTACATTTTGATTAACGGCCACATTATAATTTGCAATAATAGAATGATTTAGTAAAATCTGTCTGCATAAATTAATTTTATTAGACTCAAATAGCATATACATAAAAGCGATTAATACTAGAAATGTTACTCGATTTTTTTTGGGACACAATTCTTTTCATATACAACTTGATCGAAACAACACGCACGGATACATGCGTTCGCATATGAAGACATCGGCCTTTTTTTGTCCAAACGCACTTAGAAAGGACGGTAGTTGATACTACGAATTGGCAGTGATCAGTCTTCAACCAATTATCTCTGAATAATGCCGAATAGTACTATTATCTTCTACTAACATTTTTATCGCGTTATGATTGTTACTATTACTGACATAGACAATGAATCGATTCGTTATAACAGGCGAAAATGTTTGGAGGTAAAAAAAAAGAAAAAAAATTGATTTCTTTGTAACTAAGGTTCAGTCGAGATGATGTATGGTGCACTCAGTAATAGTGAATATCTCGAATGCGATAGAAATAACCGTTTTCTTTTGCTCATTATATCGTATATTTTAGTGGTTCATGTGTGCTATCTACAACAAATTTTTATTTTTACTCTACGGCGAATGTGAATTACTTATAATCCCGCTTGTGTATCCGGATGCTTTGCAAACAATTTATCAGCATACACTTACATAATGAAGTTATTTTGTATAGTATGTTATTTCTCATAAACAGAGCACTTGTGTATATCTCTGGGATTTTAAGATACAAAACATATGTAAAATTCAATTTAAGCGATTTGGAAAGGTGAATGATTTCAAAATGAAGATAATTTTTTTTAATTTTTGCTATGTACACCTTTCTCAGTTTATAGAAGTAGTTGATATTTGTTCCATGTACAAGGGATGAAAAACTCTATGAAAACAAAAAATTGTAGAGTTTGAGAACTTTGAAAAATAGTCTTGAAATCGAAAACAAAAGTACATATAAATCATGTTCTTTTTTTTGTATTATTATTCGAGTATCTAAGAAAAAAATTGAAGCGTTCTCTTTTCTGGTGTTTCCTAAAAAATGGATATCTTATACACTTTATTACGTATTTGTACCAACTTGCAGAAATTATTGTTGGGTAACATTAACTTACTGATATATGCATTTAGAGTCCTTCGCGATAGTATGTCGTAGCGAATGCTTCCATCATAATCCAACAAATTAGTTCAAGTTTCAAAAATCCAACCTGGAAACGTGCATTATTTAATGAGAAAAATAATATGTAAAAATGTGTATATCGTATGGTTATACTATATGTTAGAGCCTATGGTATATATTCGATATCGTCATACTGACCAATCATGTAAGCTAGGATAGCTGTGCATTTGTACGATAACGAGCAACGAGGGACAGAATATAATAATAGAACATTTTGTACCTTTACTACGAGCTTCACGAAGACACAAGTAGATTGAGAATAGTTATCTTATATAATAAAAAGCGACAAAGTATATCGTTATGCATACGTGCAGGTAAGGCCGATCTTCATTTCGCGTTCTATTCATAAAATTGTCACATTTTTTCTTGGAGGTACAACGTGGTAGTTTTCCGATCATGTTCCGCGATAGTATCTCTTGTTATTGTCTAGCACAAATGTCAGTAGTTTCCTTTCATCGTTCTTTTTTGTACATCTATTCCCGCAAGCGTTGTCTGGGAGAGTTGTCTGATAACAAATTAAATTTAGAATTTGTGTGTATCTCGTACTTTGTATATCACGTATCCATTTGTATCATGTGACGTTATATATATATATATATATATATATATATATATATATATATATATATATATATATATATATATATATACACATACACACACATGAATACGAGTATTATATAGGAAATATACAACTTACGCCACACAATACAACTTTTTCTTTTATACTTTTTTATCTATTATTTTTCTAAAACAATATTTATTTTTGTAATATTTTGGAGATACTTGATGAGAAGATGTAATCTCTGGCAGATATGTAATTTTTTTAAAAATTATGTAGTAAATATAGACGAGAGAGGGGGGGGGGAGAGTAGCAACGAATTTCAAGTGTCTAAGTGTTTCTAACAGTACGTATTTATACGTAGATATATCTGTTGCTATCTGTAATCGTTCGCGCGTGCGCTTGTTGAGACCATAGCTTGCTATGCGAATATATATATTCGGTACTGTCGCCGCCTTCGTCGCGCCGGTATAATGTCTATTGCGATCGCAACAACTCGGCCACGGTCACGGTCACGGTCACGGTCTACTCCACAGCCTCTCTCGCGAGCTCTTTCGTTCCCTCCGCTACTATCCGTCGGTCAGCGAACTTGCGGCCCGTTCTTGCGCCCGCCAACGACGCATGCACAGCTGCCTGAGCAACGTTCGTGTCAAGTCTTAAAGTCCAATTCAGATGATTTATAATTTGCGACAATTGTGTGTGTGTACATTTAATAATATACTTGGTCTCTAAATCGTACGACATATAGAATTGTCATAAATATAGAATATTATCCGAAATTTTATAGCAAATTATTTTCTCTTTTTAAGAAATGTAGCGAAATGCGAGGCATCGCTCAGCGACGCAATCGTAGTTGAAAGCATAAAAAAGCAAGAAAGATCAACTGATCTGACGTATGAAATAATAAGAGAACAGGTTATAATTGATATGATTGCAATTAAGTGAAAGCGAATTATTATTTATAACAAATGTACATCATACACATACAAGCGCGCGCATACACACATATCTGTATATTCAATCATATGGTTTTTCGCTATACATATATTCGATTATTATTATTCTCGTTGAGATAGAGAAAGAGAGAGAAAGGGAGAGAGAGGAGAGAGAGACAAGAAAAGGGGAGGGGAGAGAGAGAAGACCCACGTTGCGCTTTTCGGGATTTCATGTGAAAGAGAGGTAGGAAAATCGAAGAAGGTACATGGGGTGTGGCATGCTCGATTGGCGGCGTTCAATTTAAGTTATGTGACTACAGGATTACAAATAGAAAGTTTGTCATTATTATTGATTAAATATAAAATATATGTGATATCGTAGTATCTGCTAGTTATTTATCCATTTTAGCTAATCTCTCGTAGCACGGAGAATCTGGAAAAAACCGAAAGTTTGATGTCATTTTACATCTTAACCTTTAGACTGCCGGGAAAGCCACAAAATTGGCTTTATAGCCACAAAAGTGGCTTTCCCGGCAGTCTAAAGGTTAACAATGCTGGTTTATCAAGACGCGTATCTATGTTACTTATCGTTAGAATCAATTGTCAAACGTTTAAAACAATGTTTCAGCTGTTTACGGTAGCTAAGATATCAAGCTAAAAGATCCGTTGTAAGGAATAATTAATTGCTGAATTTTTACTTATCATCATTCTTAGATTCAAGCACGACATTTGCAAAATGCTCCTTTGTACCAGGAAGGACATTGTGTCCGACGGAAATTTGATGCGACATGTATCGTCTCTTCAAACTTACTGTTCAAAATGCAAAATAAGATTTCTGAGTAGACGTGTATGTGTCGACTCGACGTAACCGATATCCTCGCGTACAATAACCGACTATTGTGGAATAATTGCTGAGCCTGAATTATTCTATGTTATCGTTCAATAGTTTCTGAAGATATGTGTGCGCACTTGTACGTCACAACGTATTTAAAATGCTTTCGATTACGAACGAAACTGTTGCAGAACGATGCGTATTATAATTGCAAACAGTGGTAATTGTTGAAAAATCGATAAATCCGCGGTGTAATAAATCTGCCTGCTACGGTACAAACGACATTCGAAATAGACCACCATGCTGACAACGGCGAAGTCCGAAGCCGGGCGGAACGCAAAATTCTCGTTAGACACGCTCGAAAAAGTTCTGGCGAGCCAAATCAAATTAAGTCGCGACTAATTAGGAATAGCTCCTTTAATTGGTCGCTCACCCCAAACGGTTGTGCTCGATGCGAAACATGTAACGGAATCTCGTGTCCGGTCCGCCGCGGTTGTTGCGAATGATATACCGTTGATCGGATTCAACGAAATTCGACGGGATTAAAGAACAGCAATATCAGGCATCAATAATGCGTAATGAATCGAACAGAGCATTTTCTTTCCATCAATCACAATTAGATAGTCTCCGATTCCGACTTTATCTTCTCTCCTCTTGACGAGAGAATGCCCTGTATTCGTGGCCAATGCGTGTGTAAAGCTTTCCAAATATCCACCTTCTTTTTATTTTCTTTTCCTTCGTCAATGTTTTAACAAGCAACAGTTTGATCGGTCCAATTCATGAATCATTTGTGAAAGGCATTACAATCGCTGGTCTGTCGAATTCCATCTGGCGAGAAATCGTATTATACGCAGAGTTAGCGAAATGGATTCAGCTTGGCGAGAGATTTCTAGCTATCTCTCGCAAAATGAGGACTTACATTATCACGGTCACTGTGATGAGAAAAGCCAGCCGTCAATGGCGAAGAATATCGGAGAAATTCATTGCGGAAGTAAATCCTTTGGAACTATCGATAAAAATATTTTTATGTCGATGCTTTATAGATGAGCTTTGTGATGAGTGGAATTCAGAAGTTTTGTACTCTTGTAAATATGTGTACATTTCCACACGTAATACTGGGGATAGATTAAATATTTAGGATCGACATGTTTGTAAAAGTGTCGATGGAAATGAAACAAAGATACTTGACGATGAGAAAACGTATTTCGAGTCAGATTTTTATGCGTGTGATCGCATATATGCTGCTAGTCCCGTATGTAATAAAGAGCATACAGACGAATGGTGTTTTTTCTGTTTTGTGAAAGCAAATATAAAATTGTAAACTACTTTTTCCTGATCGAGGAGGGCGGTCAGTACGCTCGTTCGCTGGCACGCTATAGACGGATGTTTCATATCGATCCCACCGTAGATGCGCGACGAGGACGATTCGCGTGTGAAAATAGTGCGAAATCGCTACACAATATTGTGCGACGGAACCGACGCTGCGTGAGAATCTCTCGCAAAGGGAGGTTAGGTTCACCGCCTTTACGAATTGCAACCGCCGACACAACAGTTTTTTCGTTTACCTTTCATGTGCCTCCTCTATTCGCCCTGTTCCTTTGCGCATCATTCACTATGCGTGTCTCTCTCTCTCTCTCTCTCTCTCTCCCTCCGAATCAACTCTCAACAATAAATTGACCCGATTAATATTACTACGTATTTTTTTAACAAGTGTCTCGCATGCATCATACGACTGTGGGCTTTTTTATCTCGCGCAACATGGCGATGAAGCGAGATGAAACGATTTTTATTTATCCTTCGTCTTCCTCCGACAACAGTGCGAACTGTTGAGGAAGTGTGTGCGCGCGCATACACACGCATGCGAAATCGTTAGATTCAAAGTAAGGTGTGTGCAGTGTAACGGTGCAAGAGCGATCCTGGCTCAACGAGCGAGGGTGTTGCTGCCATCGCTAAAGGTGCGAAGGGCTCCGACTCTCTCCGCACCCCCTCCTCTGCCAAGTCCCACACAAGCGAGCTTTGGTTAGCTTTGGCTAGCGCGCTCTCGCTACAAGAGCGTCGCGTCGGTCGCGTCTTCGTGGCGAGGTCTGGTACGCCTGCTCCGCCGCCTGCTAGGAGCGGCCGGTGCTCGCCGGTGCTGCGCGACAGAACTTTAGTAGCGTGACGAGCGTCGATCCGCTTGTTTCGTGTATTTTGCGCTCTTCTTGCCACTCTACTTTTGCGGGTTGCGTTCGTTTTCCCATTCCTCGTCATCTTTTCTTTCGTGTAATTCGCGCGCTATACGACGAGGCACGGCCGTTGAATCGAGTCGAGTTGAACTCAGTCTTTCCGGTCCGATCTCTAGCCCGGTCGAGTCGCGTCGTGTTGCGTCGAGACGGGACGAGACGAAACGCGCGCGCGCGCGCGTGTGTGCTATCGATACACTCGGTGAACGAACGCAGGAGCCAACGATCGAGGGAGGCAGGACTTTAGGAGCGGAGAAGGAGCGAGAGAGAGAGAGAGAGAGAGAGAGAGAGAGAGAGAAAAAGATGTAAGTGTAGAGCCGGTCTTGGCTTCCTGTCCGTGCTTATCACTGGAACGCGGCAACGACCGACGTCGCAAATTCCGGTCCCGGTTTGGATAACGCTCTCGCGTTTCATTCTTCTCGATTCCGTGCATTCTGCGAATCGCGTGAAAGTGACGATCCTTTCTGAGAAATCACTTTGTTGATCATTGTGTGTGTATGTGTGTGTCGTCGATACGATTCTGTGAGAGATCTTTTTTGCGCATTTGAGCCAATCGTAAATTGCATAGCGAGTGAAGATACAACACTCTTCGGTGACAAAGGGTGCGTATCGTGCGCACAGTCCGGCATTAGCAGTCCGGCCATACGTCCGATTCGCGCGATCAGTCGTAAATTTGCACGGATGTTTAACACGATATGTGTGTAATGTATATATATTCGAATCTGTCAAACATCTCGTTCAGATTATCACAAACACTTGTTGCAAATCTCGTCAATTGCCAGCAGAATATGTGACAAGGTTTTTGCAAGAATGAAAAAAGAATGAAATAAATAGATGTAATATTTTATAGTAGATTAATTGTACTTTACGAAGATACTCGAAAACACAAATATGAGTGAAATAGAACCGTCACAAATCAACAGAAAAAATCGAAAGAGAACAATTGTGCATTTTCTCATTTAAGAATGTCAGACTTGTTACACGCCCAATTTATTAACTGCCGGCTGCTTAAATCTTGAGTCCAGAATAGTCAAAAGTTTTTTGATCGAAAAGGATTTCTTTTTAAAGCGTAAAAGTTGCATTTTGATCAAAATAATATTTTCATTTCATTGAAATGTATGAAACGGGCTTTCGTAGCTCTGTGTATAACTGAGTGAAAGTTTATTTTCCTAGAGAGCTGTTTGTGATTTTATAAAATAGGGAAGCTGTCGAAATTCTTGTCGACTTTGTCGGAGGCAACTTTGTTACGCAAATTTTGTCATAAAAATAACAAGTGTTCGATTGCCTGACACTGGGTGGATAATTTCGTCATCTCTCTCTATCTGTCCCTTTAACCGAGTGATCATTTGATTGGTCTTTGTCATGAAACATCTTGTACAACGAGCGATAACTGACGTCAATGTGATTCTATCCGACTGATAGTTACAAAAAAATTATAAATCGAAACCTAAAGTAAATTTAAACGTAAACTTGAGTTACACGGGGAAACGATAACGATCGAAACTGCGCAACCTTCGAGAGACCACTGACAGTTCCTGCTGGAAGGGACGGAAAGGCTCGGCTTCGCTTCGCATGGCGTGAAAATTGTTGTCGGTGCGCGGCCTTCGCTTCTCAGTCGCCGGAGATCAACTATTTTTAGCGACCTTGGCGGGAGGGATGTGACGGGGTTGTGAGGGAGCATTTATTTCGTACGGAAGCACTGCTCGGCACGGTGCATGATGAGTCAGCCGGTGTGAGTCGGCCCTGCCGGTCTGCCTGTGCTGGGTGGGTGGGTTTGGATGAAATGAAAGGGCGCTACATTCAGGGCAGAGATGGACTTTGCTCAATTATTGTCGCATATGATAAATTAGAGTGATATATCGCGCCTCTTACGTGGATATTCATTATGCCGAATTGCGCTGTCTCATGCGGCATGATCGCCACAACACTGTTGGAACGGCTTTAGCGGCTGTTCGATTATTACGATAACTTAACTGGTCGCCATCGTGCATTCAGCGCTACTTAACCATTAGAGTCATAAAGCAGCGACAAAAAGGGTCGCACGGGATCTGCGCGTGCTGCATCGCTTTCTCATTTGCGTTTTTTCGTGGTAAGCAGCAGCTGTTGCTTAAGTTTGATCTACAATGTGTTATTTGCTTCTTGTTTCTTTTTCTTTATCTCTTTCTGACTCACATCTTAAGCCTTAAACTAAAAAAAAGACAGAGAACAAGAAACAGGAAGCAAGGAGCATATTGTAGATTAGGCTTTAAGCTTGATCTATAATATACTCTTTGCTTCCTGCTTCTTTCTTTTTATCTCCTTCTGACTCAAACCTTAAGTCAGAAAAAGATAGAAGACAAGAACGCAAAGAGCACATTGTAGATCAGGCTTTAGAGTTCAAGATGGAAGAAACAAACATGCAAACAAGAAGAGGAAAGAAAAGTAACGGATTAGATTATGCGTTTGGGGTGCGCAGCTATTGTATCTTTTACAGTATTTTCTTTTCAGTGTGACTACTTTGTTCTTTTGTTTCTTCGGATAAACTTCCGAAAATCATCCACGCCCGATTGTCATGAATTTTGACAAAAACACTCCAAATGATGTCAAATAAATGTCCTTAAATGGATTTCTTCGGTCCTTAAATGGACCGACAACAACGTTTAATGCCAAAAATCTTTAAATAAATTTACATATCTCTGTTCGTACTATGTTACTTTCTTAGACAAACCTACGAATTTTAGATCAATTTGTGATGGTATATTTGTTGATGTAAATATGTAAATATAAAGTTTACAGCCATAAGTCAGCTATGATCTGTGTATTATATGCGATATAAGTGTATTGATCTTATTTAGTGTCGTAATACAGAGCAAAATTCGTAGATTTGATACACTAAAAATCGTTAATACCGAAAAGATTAACAAGATCCCTACGCAAAGGAGAATGTTCTACTAAATCTTCGCCTTACTAAATGTATGAGTCTACTATATACTACAATGGATACTGAAAAGATTACTGCAAGATCCCTACGCAAGGTAGGACGTATGAATCGCATGCAAATGAATGCAAAAACAACACATGTCTAACACTATGCGAGATGCATTTTTCTTTTTTTTTTAGAATGTTATTTTTATCAAACCGGGGGACGAAGTTCCCCTCCCCCGAACCCCCGTTGACCCCGGGGGCTTCGCCCTCTGGACCCCCAGTTCAAATGTTTGCAAATGTTTAAATAGTGCTAATGTTTCAATAAGGCTTCGTTACCTATGCATGTTCAAATATATTTCTAATTCGTGCACTATTTGTATGTACAAGTGGCCAGATATTTCCTATGAAAATCGTAAATCCCCCTTAAAATCTTGTATACATGTTTTTAGGTTTCTCCCCATTGATTATTACTATCGCAGTGACAACAAGTATTTTTAGCATGATTGCTGCAAAAAAATTAGAATTCGGAAAAGTCCGAATTGTAAATAATTACCTTTGTAGATTTGTCTAGGAAAGTAATACGAACAAAGGATAATTATTTAATTTTGGCCCCTCACCCTCGATTATGAAATCTGAAATCGACGATGTACGGGCTATGGCCCCCAGACCTCTCTCACCGCCGCGGGGGAGGAGCCCTGTCTTGTGCGAAAAATTGTCACTTTTTAGAAAATACATCTTTTTTCAAATATACCCTCACAAATTGATCTAAAATTCGTAGATTTGTCTAGGAAAGTAGCATGATACGAACAGAGATATGTAAATTTATTTAAAGACTTTTGGCATTAAATGTTGTTGTCGGTGGAAATCCATGTAAGGACATTCATTTGACATCGTTTGGAGTATTTTTACCAAAATTTATGACAATCGGGCGTGGGTGGTTTTCGGAAGTTCACCCATTTCTTCTTCCGTACGTTTGCAGCATGAAACAAAATGTTTTTTTCCGGAACATTCTCCAGACGAGAATTTCACGAAACGAATATTTGATCTCGTAGCACGCATCGTTCACTATTCTCGAATTGACATAAGTGTAATTGTAAAAGAGTCTGGTAGAGATTTGTGACGAAGCAACGTCGGTTCAACTAATAACGGTGATGATGACGATGATAATGATAATAATAATAATAATTTTATACATGATAATACATAACTCGCGAATATTAAAGTAATAAAACAATTACCTTTCCGTTTTTTTGATGAATTTTTCTGGTATTATATCTTTGAAATATCAAAGGTATCAAAGGATGATGCATCCTGTATGTTGCGTAATGAACTGTCGGTTTATCGTCTCGTGATATACCGGACGTTCGTTTACCGTTTGTTATCCTTCACGTTATAGCGTGTCGAACACGCAGCACCGCGATGCGGATCTCGTCTCTTGCACTCCTTTTTGCGAATTTTTTTCTTTCTCTTTTTTTCATTATTATTACATACTTGCAATCTCAATCGCGCGGTCTCCCGCATTTCCGACGCATAACGGATTGAACGAGAAGAAGCTCGCGTGACTTTATCGCTGCAATCTCGTTGAAGGCGCAATTGAATCATTTACCGCGCGCAATATTTCAGCGTAAACACCGCGGATTTTCTCCAATTAGTGTCAATATCTCGCAACGAGAACGAGCCACGCGGTATCTCGTAATTTGGCGGCGGAAACAATTAATTAGATATCTCGTTGTAGATACGTGGAATAGCATTATTTTGAGCTATTTTATTGTGAAACATTTCTTTTTAATATTACCGTTATTACCGATAAACGAAAAAAGATATTCGTCAGAAACGAAAAGGCGTAAAACGTAAAGGTCGTAAAGACAAAGCGAGGGGGACGATATCGGAATCCGTGATACTAAGTCGGTGATAAGTTCGGCCAAAGAGATTCGTCCTCTTGCGTACTTTTTCTTGGACCGATACTTTCGCGACTTGTACTGTTCGTTTTGTTTGGACTTGTGCTCCGTGCCACGTTTATAACGTTCTAAAACTGACCGATGCGCTTTTAGATATTTTTCTATTGCTAACGATCATTGATTTATTTCTTCACTTTTCATACATTTTTAAACGCATGCGCGCGCGCATTTTCCACTATGAATTTAGTTTCGATAAAATAGAATTGTTTCATTTGGCTCTACAATGTCTCGCAATATCTCATTCTATCTTCGATGATCTCTCATTTCGCTTATACAATTACGATTGTATAATTCGATCAACGAAACTTGTTCTGTGACCGATCGAGCCCATGTGGAACGTTTCTTTATTCCTCGACGTTGTCCTTGTCGTTGAAAGTATTTCCGTTTGGTTTCGTGACGGGAAAATTTAAGAGTTTCAAACTCATCCGCGCCAGTGTTGACAAAACGACGCCTGCTTTCATTATTTATGCTCTGCAGCTTAAATTTTTTTTCATCGGACGTGCGGATTATTTTTGACGGAATGCAATAATATTCTCCTCTTTTAGGAGTCAGTAAAAAGAGAAAATATCTCTTCTTCGAGCCCTTCGTATTATAATTATATCGAGGAGCTTCATTTTCATACCGCGTTAAACAATTTATACCTTCGAAAACATTGGAAGAGGGATTTGTACTGAAAGAATTATACAAATGCCATTGAAACATTTCGAAATACCAAGATAATATTAGAGAAGACAGTTGGTCTTGCGGGATTTAGAAAATTTCGCTATTTAATAATCTCTTGTCGGTAAATTTATTGATAGAAATGTGTGAAATGAATGTAGATGATAAGTACAGAGAGAGAAATAGAGATGTAGTTTTATAAAAATATTGAAAATATACTTCACTGTATAGGTCTGCATATACATAATGATAAAATATCAAGTTAATTGTAAATTATAAAATTAATACTTTATTGTACACTGAATGTTCGGGTATTAGATAGCTAATAAAAATTGATTCTTCTTGTCTAATGTGTCAGTCTTTTCCTCGGAGTCCTTTGCCAGGAGGTAAAAATTTCGTCAGGGCTGACGGTCTTTAATAATACTCGTTGATGGCAATGCCGATTATGAAACATGAGTCCTATTTCAGAGTCCTGCTTTACGAATCAGTGTAACCGGTTCAATGACACGTTGTACGTACCAAGTTGAGCGTCGCTCGCAGCCGTAAATACCATCGACTGTACAGGGTGTCTCATATCATCCGGATACGACGTGTTGTATCACACGTTTTTGGACGAGCTCTTGTTTCGACATATAGATTCGAATTTCAGTATTTAAAATTTCGCACGCTTAAAAACTCGATCCAATTGTGTTTCGGTTGGGTTAACGAGAAATAATTGCTTTCTCCACTTCTCTCGTAACTTTTACGTTACAAGTGAATGATTCTCAGATGAATGAATAGACATTATTATATCTTTATACGCGATTAGAAATATAATTGAAACTCCTAACTTAATCTAACCGCGCGCACACCCGTAAGTTTAAAGAATAATTTTTCCATTCGCTGTGACATATACGAGATAATATTATAGCGCACTTACCTACCTAAATAGATCTTCCAAAGGACGTCTCGAGGACGTCCACAACACGTCCCTTGGAGGTGTGTGTTGTGTGGATAATGACGCGTTTAGAATAAAGATCGTTGCTTTTGCTTCATTATCACTGATGTTTCTTTCGTTTCAGACGTTGAGAAGTTATTCGAAGGCATTCGAATACATTTTGGTAACTCAGGTGAGGATAACTGATTTTGCGTGCGAGATACATTACTACGATGCAGAGCAACGGTTCGGAGAGTGTAGGATCTGAAAACGGAGTCGACAAATCGGGATGGACAGTACGTATCGTGATATCAGATGATATCAAAAGTTCATTCCACACAAACTATAATTTACCAAAGTTACAAGGGGTATTTTCATCTCATCTCATATAGTGTTATAGTCGATATAAAATATGATGGAGAATTGAACGATTTAAATTATACACGACATACACGCACGCGCACGCACACACACACACACACACACACACATATACACATATGGTAAATTTGTGCATTATCTCGCAGTGTCGTAGGTAAAATTTATTCGCCTAATGAGACAACGAATTTGCACAATTTTGTACACGATGATGGCATGACTCTTGAGATTCTTTTCAGGTTGGATTAATCAACGGAAAGATTAAGTATTTAACGGCGGAGACGTTTGGTTTTAAAATCAACGCCAATGGATCGAGCTTGAAAAAGAAACAATTGTGGACTTTGGAAGGTAGCGAGCATCAGGTCTTTCTTCGCTCTCACTTGGATCGATATCTAGCAGTCGACCAGTTTGGTAACGTGACGTGCGAGAGCGAGGAGTCGACGGATCCAGGATGCGCCTTTCAAATACAGCTCGCTTCCGATGGTCAGTACTTGGTTCTTACATCCACTATTTATACGCGTCGTAGTCTCTGTTAGTTTTATTTCGAGTCTTTGTACACACGTGCATACACATATGAATACATGAGGCCTGTTATTTTCCGCTGAATAGTGCCGCATTAGAACTTTGTTGAACCCTTTAACGCTAGACTATATATTTATTTCTCTCTCTCTCTCTCTCTCTCTCTCTCTCTCTCTCTCTCTCTCTCTCAAGACAAAAAAGTGCAATCTAGTTCAGTTAATAGGATCAATAGGATAGATATTAGATAAATAGACTTTAGCTTCTAACTAAACGAATTGTGCCTATCTGTGCAGCGTGGCTATTTCTATATTCTAGCTCTCGTCTTATCCCTCTCGTCTTATCTGCGTTAACTTCTCAAATAATGGTTATCCGAAGTATCATAACGAAAGCTCAGAATAAAAGTGTACTGACGATTCTCAAGTGATTTTTCAAACAAATTGCAGGTAGCGGACGATGGGCGCTAAAAAACATTCAGAGAGGCTACTTCTTAGGATCGAGTCAAGATGAATTGAAGTGCACCGCTAAGGCTCCAGGCGAGGCAGAATACTGGCTCGTGCATCTCGCCGCCAGACCGCAGGTACCTTAAATGTCATACCAGTCAACTCGCAGGCGTGTTTAGATCGATCGATTCCGTTAATAACTGTAGTTGAGCGAGCGTAATGAAAGGATACTCTTTTTCTCTTTTATTTCTATTTTTGGAATAAAAGCAGAACATTGTCATTAATCGTCGCGTCTAAAGTTATCAAAGCCTTCAAGCCTTCTTTAATTGTTAACCGTATAAACTAGGTGAATCTTCGATCTGCTGGGAGAAAACGTTTCGCACACTTGAGCGCTACTCAGGATGAGATCCATGTGGACGCACCGGTTCCCTGGGGTGAGGACACCCTATTTACTTTGGAATTTCGTCCGGCGACCATGGCCGATGACGACAGCCACGGGGGGGATCGTACCAAGTCGGAAGGCGGCCATTACGCTTTGCATACTTGCAATAACAAATACCTCGCACGTGACGGCAAGCTTCTGGACGCTTGCACGCGAGACTGCCTGTACGCCGCGGAGTTCCACGCCGGTCTCCTTGCTCTTCGGTATGGCCGATTATGCGAAAGGAAATATTAAGGAATGCCAACTTGATTGAGGCAGGCAACGCTTCGCGTTGGTGCTATAGGGCTCGCAAGACATATATTCTCATAGTGTATATAACATGTTTACGAACGAGTCTACTTCAATTGTACATCTTTCAGAGATATACACGGCGCATATTTGGCACCGATTGGAAGCAAAGCTGTCCTGAAATCACGATCGACGACTGTTACACGCGATGAGCTCTTTTCGTTGGAAGAATCTCTGCCGCAGGCATCGTTTGTCGCGGCGTTAAACCAGCGATACGTTTCCGTGAAACAAGGCACGTATCTTTTTATGCATCTCCTCTCTCTCTCTCTCTCTCTCTTTTACCGTACAAGTGGTAAGTGCATTCGATTTTCGAAAATATCAGAGCAAGTCACCGTTTGTTTTATAATTTTCAACATTTTTTAAGCATTCGAAGCTCATAGATAAAATTTGCCCGTTCGCTTCATCTTAGGTGTCGACGTAACCGCCAATCAAGACGAAATCTCCGGCCACGAGACATTCCAATTAGAATTTGATCGGGTGACGAAACGGTGGTACGTGCGAACAATGCAAGATCGTTACTGGAGCTTGGAGGCAGGTGGTGGCATTCAGGCTTCTGATCACAAGCGCTCGTCGAACGCTCTCTTCGATTTGACATGGCAGTCGGACGACGGTACGGTCGCGTTACGCGCCAACAACGGCAAATTCCTGGCTACCAAACGGTCCGGGCATCTCTACGCGAACGCCGACTCGCTCAACGGCACCGACTCGGACGCCGCCAAGTACTACTTCTATCTGATGAATAGGCCCGTACTGGTACTCCGATGCGAGCAGGGTTTTGTCGGGCCCAAAAGTGCGGCTAGTCCTAAACTCGAATGCAACAAGGCCGTCTACGAGACGATACGCGTCGAGCGTTGCGAGCGCGGTGTAGTCAGATTCAAAGGGCAAAACGGCAAGTATTGGCACGCGGACAGCGAAGGAGTAACGGTGGATTCCGATATGCCATCTGATGGTTTTTACCTGGAGCTGCGTGAACCATCTCGAATTTGCATCAAGTGCGTGGACGGTCGATATCTCACTGCTGGTAAGAACGGCGCGCTGCGTCTAGGAGAAACCGACTACGAGTCCGCCACCAAGTGGGAATTCTAACACGGATGACGCGCAACAAACGTTCGGACTTATTCTACTTATTACACTGCCTCCTCAGCTTTGGTCGTAACGTAGTACTGTTATTGTATGTATTCCCCGAACAACGACAGGAATTTGTGCAGTTTTGCTTCCCGTCGCGTACTTAATCGAGCGTACCTACTTACCTAGTTACCCACCTATCTGCACCAGCGTCACCGTGTTACTTTGTTGACGTTTGACTAATTTCTTTCTTCAAGTCCATCTCGATATAAAAAGTTTGGTAAAGTTTCGCACACATTTTGCCATTTACCGTGACTGACGACCCGATCAACTGACACGATTTACCTAAATAACGCGATAGTTTGAGAGATGCCGAGAGAGTTCTCATAGAGAGCGGTTCTGTGAACGGCTATCCATTTTATACGTAATACATACTTTTATATCCATAATGTATCGCCTAAGTAAGCAATCAGCTTGTCATGCTGCGGGTTCGACTTTATTTTCGATATTTTATTTGTTTATTTGTAATCGCGACGCGCGTTTATTGATCTTTGAGAAATGCGATCAATGACGAACGAACGATTTGATATCGATGATCGATCTTATGGTGTGTCGCGGAAAGTAAGCATTGAATAATATGAGAGTTATCGATGGAAAAAGATCTTTCTTAAACCTTGTGTCCACGTGTCCAGAAATCGGCCCGAGATCTAGATACGAGAAAAAAACAACTAATCCATTTGCAGCTTTTATGGAAAGGCGACAGTTTTATTGGTTATACGTTTCTCAGATTGAGATCTCGAACTGATTTCTAGTATCGTGGACACGATGGCTTTATACTCGCAGTGTGGCAACGAGCTTTCGCTATCGTTGTTATAGTTTTGCGCATTTTACACGTTAGGCAAATATACGCATACTTGACGATTATGATCATCCGTTCGATCACTGCCCTGCGCTCGGGGGTTTGAGATACCCTCGAGCCGATTCCCCCTCTTCTTCCTCTTTTTCAGGCTTTATTGTCAAAGTATCTGTTACGATCGTAAGTTAGGAAAAGTACATTTAACGGAACGTGAGAGTTTCGCTGTATACCCCACGCATGCTTCGCACGTATTAGCCTATACCGCGTATACACATACATATAAGCGAAATATGCCGGACTAAGGCTTGGTGATGGACAGAGCAACAGGATACGGATTCGAGTTTCCATTCGCTTTTATGCTCGCGCGAGATTATACTTTGATACTCGGTTATAATGCGTTTTTAAGGAATAGGTTAGCAAACCGATAATTTCACTCTTGTGCAATTTCAGCGTTAACGTAAACGTTATTACGATCATCGTCAACAAAATTGACAAGGAACGCGTTGTATTTTGTCTGAAAACGTTTGCGACACTGAATTTTTCAATATGGTTCATCACACGTATACCATATGCAATTATATGTACGGAAGGTGCGGGAAATAAAGTAGCGCTGGTGTTATGACATTGAAGTACATACGCCAGTCTCGTGTAAATGTACACACGCGCGTTTGCTTCTTCACCAACATTATCACTATAATCATAGCATGACATTATGTAGTACACTTTGTGCGCGCTTTGCGTCACACCATTTTTACATCTTACGAGCAAAACGCGTAAAATCTATGATGCCAAGTGTACATGGAAACGATCTATCGAGTGTTGCAACATTTTTTTATCGTCCGGTCAAGACCTTCGATCGGATCCGAGTCTCGACCTATCATAGTGATTAGTAGATATTAATCCCTTGATATTATGTAAGCGGCAATCTCTTTTTACTACTTTTTCACGGTAAATACATTAAAAACAATGGATGTAATAAATTAAAGGATGTAATAAAAGAATTTTTTATCAATTAGAAAGAGAGGGAGGAAGTCACGTTTTATTCGACACAATCTTTCCCGTCATGCGCATCTAATGTGGTCATAACACTATACGCACATTTATATAATGTGACTTGAATCTTGTTTCTGAAAAAAAGAAGAACGCATTGCAAGCTGTTGAAGAACGGATTGCAAACTGTTGAAAAACATGTAGCTGTGACGCGCAGATACGGGCGCCGCTATTGGGCTACACACTCTCCGTGTTGGCCGCTATAGCTGATTCATGGCATTATTCTGGTATTACTGTAATCATAAGAATCCTTGTGCTTCTTAGATGTTCGCATCTCTTTCGATAAAATCAGTTTACTTAAAAATTACACAACGGTTTATTTTCAGAAAAGCATTCTCGTTTCTACAAAGAATATGACATCTTTCGCCAGACTATCGTATGTTATGTATGTATATTTGATGCGACACATATCTTCTAAATAACTGTATACAATGATACAAGGTTACCTTTCTTTAATTAATACACGAACTAATGATTTGATTGTACATTTTGCATATAATATATACAGAGCAAGTCACTATAAATTGGCACTTTCGAGATTTTTATTCAACTTGATTCAAAAGTTATACGGTATAAAAGGATAAATACGTACACACAATGACTCCAGTGGATCAGTTTTTCTTTAGTTTGCAACGTTAACGTATGTTGTGTGTGTGTGTGTGTGTGTGTGTGTAGATACAGCAGATATCGTTTATTTTGTAAAGTGCCAAGTTATAGCATCTCATGCTACGATATGCAAAATGTGTCTTTAAAAAAATATGACGAACCAACAGCAAAATCAACAAATTGTCCCTACATCGTACAATCGAGTTCATTTCGAATTTTGCTTCACACGCTTCCTTCGAGTATAGAATTTCTCTTAGTGGACTTCTTATTCACCTCTTTTAGATCGGAAGATTCGCCCGATTTTATTTGTTCAGTCGGCAATCGACAATGTTTCCTGACTCTATTGCACGTTCCTTTAACGTTATGCTTGTTACAAGTGTGTGGTATCCTCGAGGACACTGTGTCGTTAGCTTTCTCTACAGCGCAAGATGATTCTCCGATCTCGGGAAAAGCTTTAGAAGCATTTAAGGAAACGATCTTCATTCTCTTTGCGCCATGTTTCACCACCGCTGTTTCTTCACAGGATGTATGAACTTTCGTCGTCGTACATTTTTTATTCGTGTACGTGTACGCGCTTAGACGCGGCGGTTCGAGGATGCGACCGACGTATCCTGCGTTAGATCTATTTGGCCGTTGGCGATCGATCGTCTTCAGAAACGGTCTCACTCTTTCTTCGGAGCTAATCGCACAGATTATCGCGTCATTTTCCACATCATTGACACATTGTTTCTTCAACGTTCGGCGAGTCGTTATCTGTCGTTGCTTTTTATTTCCTTTAATTCTTTTCATTGCCGTGTAGAGAGCCGCACCGCGACGAAGGAGACACTTTTTTACCAAATTACTTTCACTTTTTATGACGTTTGTCGCTCCCATCACCGCGTCGTTCAGTTTTGTTTCTAATTCTTTCAGTATGCAGGTATTTTGCGCGGGAGCAAAATTTCCTTCATTATCCTGTAAATGAAAGACGCACATGTAGATTGCACGTGTCACAAAAATATTCATTTTGTACAATTCGTGACGACGATGCTAAAAGTAACATGCGCGCGCGCGCACGTGTGTGTGTGTGTGTGTGTGTATAAAATATATGAATATAGATGACAAATATAGATTAGAACTTTAGATAAAAAAAGTACATAACGCAAAAATAATTGATTGTTCGTGTTGTACTCTTTGTATGTCCAATAAAGTACATTTTTATATTATTAGGTTGTACGATATATGATAAAGTGAAAATATTTATCGACGTAAAGTTCATGTCGAATATGCATATAGTTTCGGCACCGCATATTTTTCGCTGCAATTTGTGGACATTTGTGATCAGATGTTTATTATATTAATCCTTCTTATGTTCCATAATATGTATATTTTATTCGTTATCGTTCGCTATGCAAACGCGACACGTACGATTCATGCCAAGCCATTTCACATTTATTGGGATCAATTGGTCAGGGGAATTCCGGGAAGTCAAATAAAAATAAGATAAATAAATCGATAATCGCTAAAACTATACATTTTTATTAACACAATTGGATGTGTGAGTCCGTGTGTGTACGTATAATGCGGTACATTTTAAAGTTTTTATATATGGATGCATAAACAATATAAAGGTAAGACTGGATTTTTTGAGCGACTTTTTCAAATATTGTTTTTAAGATTTAAAATTTGTCATCTGAGTTGACGATTGCTCTATAATTATTCAGTGGTAATTATGAGGTTACATGTTGAATCTATCATTTACAATAGTTTCAACAGTAATAAGAAATTTACAAGTTTACATTTTATAACATTTTTACATATATATGTATCACAAATTATGTATTATAATATTTCCCTTAACACGAATGGAATTATCGTTATATGTTTTAGAAATAACAGTTGCACTCTAAATTGTGTGCGTATATATGTGTGTGCATGCGTACGTCTGCACATACACACACACACACATACACAAAATTTGTAAAATTTTTACACACTTATTTGTGTATATTGTATCATATTAAACAACATATTTAAGTTATAATTAACAAATTATTACATTTTACATCTTAACAATTCCATCGTTCGGAGATATAACAGTTGAATCACTTATATCTCTGTGTCGTTCCTTTTTTGCTAGAGAAATAGATAAAATTAATTACATGTATATGTGTAATATTTCAAAACGTTTTGTTCAAACAGATTAATTACATAAATTAAATGTTGTTTGTTTCATCATTGCATAAATTAAACGATGTGATTGTAAGTGCACTTACATGTTATTAGTGTAGTGTATACAAATTGATTACTTACAAACAGATGTTAGCATAAAGAATGGTATAAAAGCATGTGTATAATTACCGAGCATTTTACGTTGACTATAGTGCAGGATGAATAAAGGAGGGTGGGAGAAGGGGGAGAGAGAGAGAGCATATTTTTGTATTATGTTATGTATCCTATTCAATCATTTTCTCATCTCTTAGCACTTTTAATTCATCGACTAGACTCTATAATTGCAATGGAAAGAAATTGACGTGCGCGATCTTGACACACACTACATCAAAATATAAAGCAATTGAAAATAAAGCGAAAATAAAGGTACTTGTAATTTAGAAATTATACACGCATATAAATACTAAATAATTTACATAATTTCGAGTTTTATCCACAAAATTAATATAACAGAATAGAGAATATATATATATATATATATGTGTGTGTGTGTGTGTGTGTGTGTGTGTGTGTGTGTGTGTGTGTGGGCGTGTGTGCGTATAGGAGCAAATTAATTTTTTTTTTAATTCAATACTCGAGGTGCGTGTTATTGTCTCATTGATATTTGTTTCGACTGGAAGACTTATAAATTTACGAAAAACTACATACAAGATATTTACAAACAAAAAGAAAGAATATAATACATGAAGCTATATCTAGACAATATAATACATATATAAATATTTTTTATGCAATAAAATAATAAATACTTGCAATATCGTTATTGTCACAAGATACTCGGAGATCACGCATTATACGAAAAATCAAGAGTTGCTTTTCCGTGTTGTTTATAGAGATTCTATAATCTCAACACTATTATATCCGCGTAATATTCGTATAATACATACATGCGCGCATCTGGACACATACGCGCACACATGATAGCTTCATACACAAGATCTGCCTTTACCACATTTGTAATTATGTACAAATAAATTTATATCGAGTTAGGCACTAATGTGTTTTGGGTGTGTTAATACTAAATAGCATACCCGGTTAGTCGCTGAATACACAATTACGAAAGTGATTACGACAGTGTACACTGTCTTATGTCAGTATTGCAAACATTATCACTTTCATTATTTGCATCAAAATTTACCTTATGCATTGATCTGTTGGACGGTGCAGAGAGATTGTTTACGTATGTTAATTTCAAATGAGATTTTACTCCTCTTAGAGAACGATATTGGCTATTTGGCAAGCGGCTGTTGGGATTACCGTTGATGAGATCGAGAATGGAAGGACCTAATGCTGCTCCAACCTGTGTATTATCAATGACGAACCATATACGTTTTAACAATGTTATTATCTAGAAAGTTGAATAAAAAAGACAGATACAAAATAGAGTACCGCTTCAAACACTGCCGGAGTATATTTCGGGGGAACAAACATATGACTAACAGTTTTGTTCACCCCATCGCGAACTCTAGCTGGTATTGTATTCACCAAACGGCCAGAATTATAATTACACTCTAGAGTATAGCTGCGTATCAGACCAGTCATCTTGTACACCGCTACGCGTCCCGAACCTTCTCTCGACATACCATCCCGTTTGTCTCTATGAAAGTCATGTACCGAATGTACATGTGCTCGACACATTTCAATAATATATAAAAGAAATGCATATATATATAAAATTTTATAATCAGATGAGAGAGAGAGGGAGGGGGGGAGGGAGGGAGAGAGAGAGATAGATAGAGAGGGGAGAGAGAGAGAGAGAGAGAG